GGCCACCTTCTCCAGGCAGCTTATAGGGACACCTTTTGTTAAACTCATTATTATTCTCAGAGTTCTGTCCTGTTTTGTTTCTTTGATTCGGTTTGACAGCCTTAGCCAATGACAGAGTTGACGACGTCAGAAAAAAATAATAATAATTGGACAAATTCCACATTTGTTTCTTCCCCCTATTAAGTTGAATAAAAGTGGTTTGGAATTTTCAAAGAACTTCCCTGATACATCTGTTCTTTAATTGTAGCTGAAATCTCAACTAGCCTCACAGAAGAACATGAAAGCGAAAACTTCAAATGCTTCCTTTTTCCCCGTTGGCGGTGTTGCACAGCTACCTACCAGGAACGATTCAACCTCGCTGACCGTTWGCTCTTAATCTATCATAGTGTTAGTAAAGATTTATAGATTTTTTTTGCTTGTTTTGTATTTTGGTCTAGTGTCACAATACGGGCAGAGTTTCAAAAGCACAGCATCGTGTGTCAATGTGTCAATAAAAAAAGAGAGAGAGAGAGAGAAAGAACGGACAGCTGTGTACTTTAATTAAGATTCATGGTGGAATATAAAGCAGCATGTGTTTCTCCAGAGAATACAGATCAATCAGCCACAGCTATGCTTGTGATTTAGCTGCAGGACATGTGCAGATGGACGGACAGACAGACAGAAAGATATTAATATATAATCAGAATATTTGTTTGAGTAGGTCACTCCACTTCACTTTCCTCGTGGATCGTTCTCTCGTTGCTGACTTCTCTGATGCTGCTGATCCTGAATAACACCCCCCTCGTTCCTCACAGGGAAATGTCAAACTGAATCCTCAGCATGATGCAGCTAAAACTGGTAAATTACATAAAAAATGTACGGAAAAGGATAAAGACACGCATATCTGTAGTTTTTATTTGTCTCCGCTTGGATTATAAATAAAATCAGCCAACACACACACACACACACACACACACACACACACACACACACACACACACACACACACACAGACCTCTCACAATTGTAATAAGGAGAAGAAAAAGTAAAGACAAAAACAAAAAAAGAGCATCTTGTATCCTGACTGGCTTGTAGAATCGTCTCGTTTTAATCTAAACAAACATATCAGAGCCATTCACCAGCGAGGAGGTTACTGAGAATAGGGTTTTATGTCTTACTGAAGCACAACGTGCCTACACGAAAAGTTATTTTCATTTCTCACAGTTTATTTCTTTGTATGAATGAGTGTAGGTGTATGCCCCCTCTCTAATGCTGGAAACACTGTTCCTGTTTGCACAAAGGAAAAAACAAAGGAATCCTTGACTAGATGGATTCCACAGAGTATCAGCAAATGAATCAAAGCCGGTGAGTTCGAGATAATCATAGCAAGGCTCTCCGTGGAGAGATCAAAAGTAAAGGATGTCTGCACCTGTCAGCGATTGTGTGATGATGTGTTTTTTTTTTTTTTTGCCAGCTCCCTGCAGAGAAAGGAACCACAGACCTCCTGTCATAAATAGGTCTTAACTCACATCCACCAACGCACCGGACACTGTGCACACAGCAGGATTGATTTGGTTTTATTTGTAAGTCACTTGTCTTTTAAGGTTTAGAGTGATGCAATTTGCAACAACTGGGACTGAATCTGTGGATTAGTAGCCGGGGTGAAGTGCGGAGGCGTTTTGTTCCAGAAGAGTGTTGCTTTACATTCGCAACACATGAGCATGGGAGTGCAAATTGCAAAAAATAATAATAGCATCCTCTTCATACGAGGAACAAATGTCACCGCCTTGGTCTTTCTTGCTTTTATAGGAGGGACTATTGATTTGACATATCCATGATTGTCACCAGCTGAGATAGAAAGGGAGTTACTGGCGTGTGTCGTCCCTCACCATCTCATGGCCACGCATTAACTGAGAAAGCCCAGTGGTTATTATAAATGTTAAAGAATATGAGCTTCGTATAGGTCAGGAGAATAAACAGTCCTGCATGTTTTAATACAGCATGTTCCTGCTTCAACACACTATTTTGCAAAGAAATCTGCAACAGCCTGCCTTTAACTTCTGTGAAAGCCTGTTATGACAAACCGTATCAAACCAAAAGCCCTGAAGCAGGAAAACCCTTAAAATATGCTGGGTGGTGGACTGGGAAACAATGTTTGGATTTGAATGTAAATCAAACAAATAATGTGCCAAACTGTCAACCAAAGTACAAAACCAGACCATTTCACTTTGTGGAAATAGCCAAAAATATCAAAAGCTATGTTATTTAGTATGTTAAATTTATTTTTCAACCCACTGAACAAACAAACAAACAAAAAAAGTTTTATGTCCTTGAACACTTACGGAGATTAACATTAAAACCACAAATCTGCATGTTATTATCAAGATTTCAAGTGATTCACGAGGCTGCTCATGAGTGAACAAAAGAGTTGATAATTAACTTTTAACTCTTTCTTTCTTTCTTTCTTTCTTTCTTTCTTTCTTTCTTTCTTTCTTTCTTTCTTTCTTTCTTTCTTTCTTTCTTTCTTTCTTTCCTACCTTCC